TTTCTGCATGAACTTTAGAATTTCAGCGGACGTCAAGGGACAATCTCCTCAACTTGATACAAACATTTTTGCTTCTCCATAGTTTAAACGCTTCTTTCCTTACTTATAATTTAATAAAATTCTACTTCATTCATCTACTTATGCACACGTGTTTAGTAAACAAGTAGTAAACAGATGAGTGGTTTTTGGGTGGTACGTGCAGAACCTATAGATGGAGGGCTTAGAAGTGTAAGTGCAGTCTATCTGCCTTCAAAAATTAAGAAAAAAAAATCTGCTGGAGCATCCAGGAACATGGAGACGTTATTTTAGATGTTTTCAAAACGTTAACACAAAACTTTACCTCCAAACCTTGTAGAGCATACCAAATGCAGCCACTGGCAGACACTGCCACCTGGTAAGTCCATTTTTGGACAATCCATTACCGCACTTTACTATAGGGATGGCAGTTTTTTCACTCATGTCGTTTCCTCGCATTCATCCTTCACAAGGGTTTTCAAGCATTTCATAAGTTGCTCTGACTACTGTTTGAGGATAGAGTCTTCCTTATAAATATCGTAGAATGATGGTCAACAAAATTTCCCTGGAAATCTCGGAGGAAGCCGTGCTAAGGCGTTCCTCGGCATCCTTGGACGCGCGACTGAAGCATTGGCTAGTCGCGGCCACCCATAACCACTGTGTCACTTGCGCTCTTAACTTTTATGCATTTACAGTTCTACCATGTTTACTAACTCTCGCTCAACGTTCTTTACATTCAAAACAAAATCAGAGATTCACAGCATTATTCCGATTGGAGTAGAGTAGTTCCGGCAATGGAACACAAACTCTTCCGAAAAGAAATCTTTTCTGAATTGAAAAAAAAAATAAAATATTGGTTCCTTTCGAACAAATGGTGCAAACTTGGCACTCTATTGATCCGTCTCCACAGTCTCCTCCTCACTGTGCTGATTCCAGTACTTCTAGCATTCGATTCGTTTTTCGTCTTCTTCTTGGATATCGCAGGATACTGCTTGAGCACGTCTCTTAGCAATCTGGAGGATAGAGTGGCGCATTTGCTGTTACGGCCAAAGAGCGTTGGGGAGAGAAGAGGGAAAGGGAGAGATGGAGGGAGGAGGAGGACAAGGAGGGGGAGGGTTAATCCCGCGTGCGTCGCGACAAGCATCACAACCACTCGACCACGGCGCTTCCAAGGGTGTACAACATCTATTGAGTAAAATATCGATTTCACATAAAAAAAATAGAGAAAAGGGCTCTCAGAGACATGGTAGACCACTGTAAGGAAGAAACAATAAAGTAAAAGTCTTCACTTATTATGTATTGAAAAACGTAACTTTTACAGACTGACCATTCGTAACTCACGGAACCGCTCAGTATTCATGAGGCTTTCAATCGCTCGACACACTTTGACTACTTCCTCAATCTCTTCCTCCGCTTCATCCTTAAGCAAAACAATATCACAAGACTATTGATTATTATGAGAAACAACAAACTGTCGCTTGACGGTAGTCTCACCCAATATTTTCGTATTTCATTCACAGTGGATTCACCCAAGTATTCCTGGAAAAACGACAACAAATTCCAAGCGCAGTGCGACTCAGCCACCCTTCAATTGAGAATCTTTACATTTAAACACTTTTAGTAGTTTAGTTTTAAATACTTTTTTACATTTAAGTCCTATCGTAAAAGCGATAAAAAAAAACGAACAAAGATATAGAAAAGCTACTAAAGGATAGAAGACGAAGTTCTTGGGAATGATCTATGTGTGAGGGACCCACCATCTATCGTCTTGACCAAAAATCGTTTGAAATGACTGAATGTAAATCTGGCCTTGGATCTTCCTAATTAGGACGTAACAAAGAAAAAATTGATTTCATTCACTGAAGAGGAACTTTCAATAGTGGTGTTAGTAATCATTCGAAAGCTTGAATCTCTGGCTAGAGCCACATGCGGCCGTTTTTTAAAATATCCTTTTACAACGCTGTAAAATCCAAAACAATATTATGTTTGACACGACTGCTTTTTTTCTTATGTCGCTCATATTTCGCTGGACAAAACTCCTTCCTCAGAGTGCTAGCACTCACTTGATAGCACAAGTTTCGAAGAACTCAAAAATGTCTCTGCTTCTTGGAAAAACTTTTTTGATAGCGCTGTAGGAGAAAGAAAAGATTTGTGCTTCACAACTCGCCGGACTGCTCTTTTTTTGAACTATTAGTAATCATTCGATGTCGTAAGTTCCAGTGATTCCAACGCTGTGTTTACTACCTGGAAATACCGTTTAGCAGGAAAACCGACGAATTTTACATTTCCGGCACCTTGCTTATCGGCCAGTCCATGGGTTCGGGGACGAGGAGGGTCGACCGATCGCGTTTGAATTATTGTTATTCAATTGGGGATCTTTTTTTCACCGCATCGACAGAAACCTCAGATAAAAACGTGTGATTTTGATAAGACGGAATATTCTCTACACGCTGAAATGCTTTACGCACTTTCAACGATTTATACGCATGTAGAAATGAAGGCGCACGGTGGGTGGGAAACACAATTTTCTTTTCCTGGATGCTACGTCGTTATAAAAGGGTATTCTGAAGAAAAGACGACGTGGGGTCTTGGTCTCAAGTCTCAGCTTTCAAGAGGTTCCGATTACTATATAACCACTAAGCCCTCTAACCACTTTGCCACTGGGTACTTACAGAGCAAAAAGAAAGAGAAAAAAACGTACTCCTGCGTTCTTCCCATGCCTTTCGCTCCGATTACTATATATGGTACATCGCCGTAGGCTATGTGGATCAGACATTTATGGCCCTTCTTATAACCTGAATAGCCCTTTTTCTTCAACAATAATTGAACATTGAGCCTGAAGGGAAGCAAAAACTTACCAACCGTCGGCACAGTTGTCCTACTGAATCTCAGCACTTTTCCCCACTTCTCACCTATTTTCTCTAGAAATTCCAACCGTCCCGTGCTGAAAAAAAAATCACAATTCTATACAAAAATTAAAGTTCAGCAAAAAAAAAATGCGACCGGTAAGAGTAGCCGAATTGACGAAGACTACTTATAGGTAGACGGAAACAAATTTTTAAGGCGATCTCATTCGCTGGGCAAGAACTTTTCATGGGAGTGTTAGCAAACATTAGAAAGCTTAAATCTCTGGCTACAATTTCACGCCGCCGCTTTTCCAAATACCATTTTGTAACGCTGTATCATCCAGAATAGAAATTTGTTTCTCACTCGCTTTTCGCCTTCATTTTCACCACGCGTACACATCACTGGAAACCATAGAAGCATATCAGCTTTTAGAGAATTCACCGTGGTATCAGAATAATACGTCTTCGTCTATATTCCTGTCAATGCGATGAAAAAATCCCCAATCGAACGGCAATATTTCAGACGCGATCGATTGCCCTGCCCGCTCCGTGAGTTGGTTGGTAAATGAAGTCGTCGAAAAGGTTCATAGCCGAGCAAAAATGTGAAAGAAAGCCACAACGACGACTTCCAGTAAGGTAATCGTCCGATCTACGGTGTGGCTCGATAGTGATCTTACAGCGTTATAAAGGGTGTTCAAAAAACCGGCAGCGTGGAGTTGTAGCGAGAGATTTAAGCTTTCGAATGATCACCAACACTTCTATGAAAAGTTCCTGCCCAGCGAATGGGATCGGCTCAAAAATTTGCCGCCGTCTGACATACAAGTACCTAACGAAGTTACCACACTACTCACCTGAATATCTCGTGTTTCTTCCTATAAAAATGCCTATGTTTCTTGCCGACATTCTTAGAAACCATGGCTTTATCGATTCAACAAACTACCTGAAAAAATATTTAGAAAAAGAAAGAGAAACGATGAATACGAAGAAAAGAAGAACCCTGAAATCTCGACGCGACTTCAGGGCATTAGCCGTGAGTCTATTCAAGTACTGTTTCCTCCGTAGTCATACGCGACACCTACGAAAATATAGTTATAGGGACAGCAGGTGGCCGAGTCGTTAGTGGCGCGGGCTATCAGGAAATACAGTGCGGTTTGAGCCCTCCCCAATACCCCCCTTGCAACCAACAAACGCATTACGAAACGCTTTAGCTTGGCTTTCTCCGATACTGCAAGGTTCCGTCCATCGGCACTCTATGTCATTCATAAAGAAAATGGCCATTTGAACGTAAATGTAAAAAAAGGGCAGAAATTTTTGGGAAAATTCGAAAAAAAAGGGAAAGTGTAAAGAAGGAGAACCCTTGGAAGCTCAAACCACGCTGGAGACATTAGCTGTTTGCGTAATAGCACAGTAGCGAAAAAAATCAGATACTGTATATTAACCCATTCGGACCATGGGATCACCTCCTCTGCATCCCTAACCCCCAGCGTGCAACGTCGGACGGTCCGCTCCACTTCCCCTGCATCTCCAACCACCAGCGTCAGAGTGCACTGAATGAATTATTGTGGAATTTAGATTGTATTATTGCTGTTCTTTTCCTACTTATAACAATATAATACATTTACATTCAACACAGAATAGGAAATAACAGCAGATACAATTTGAATAATATACCGTCTAGCGTTGCCACACTGGGGGCTAGAGAGGCAGAGGAGGTGATCCACGGTCCCGGAAGGGTTAATTAGCGAGTAGCAAGAATTTGATTAAAAAAAAAATCACTTGGCCAACGTTCTGACGTCTTCGCCTTCTTTTGAGCCGATGATTCGAGTGGATTTATTTTTGTCAAATCAAATTTTTCTTTACTTGACCGCTCCTAGCTACGATATGATGTTGGAGATATACTCAATGATGTAGAGGGATGTGCAAAATCTCCGCATTGGGCGAAACTCGAACCAGCATCTTACTCTATACGGTAGCACGCACTCTAACCCCTTGCACTACGAACGGACGCCGTTTCGCCGTCACTCGTTTTACGCTAGAATGCATCTATCTATCAGCAACTAACCGTCAACGGTAGTGGCCGAGTGGTCGGTTCTGGTGCGATAGATGCGTTGTAGCGCAGAAAGAGTGGTGGCAAAACGAGGGTCAGTAGTGCAACAGGTTAGAGCATGCGCATCCGGATAGGGTGAGGCGCGGGTTCGAGCCCCGATTGGCACGAAATTTTTGCACTTCACTCTACATCATATTGATTATTCGGGCTCAAGAAAAGTCGGTTCCTAAGAGAATTAGGAAGAAAAAGAACCACAACCACGCAGGAATAAAGGAAAAGTTCTGACCTCGAAGCGTACTGTAGGCACCAGACGTTCGCCTTTTCGAGTGCTACGTTTCGTCCGTAATCACACAGTTATCCACTTTATACAGTAAGAAATTTGTAGTCAGGGAACGATTCGCGTCTCACCTTGCCCAGCAGATCGGGACATCTCTGTTGCTCTGGAAATTCGATAAACTCAACCCTTTCGGGACCGTCGACCTCACCTCCCCTGCATCTCTAACCCCCCGCAACGCTGGATGGTCTGCTGTACTTCCTCTGCATCACTGGCACCCAGTGTGGCAGTATTGGACGATCTACTCCACCTCCTCTCCACCTACCAGGGTGGGAACGCATTGTATGAGTACCATCAATACGTTCCCACGCTTGGGGTTTAAGACGCATAGGAGGTGGGTCAGCGGTCCCAAAAGGGTCAATAAGATGTTTCTTTTTAGAGTATCCTCTACTTGTTGCTCTCAGTCGGCGATTGTTCTTGGGCAAAGCGTTTCTCGAAAAGGTTTGACCTTCTAGGATCAGTGTGGTCCCACATATCGATCGATTTGACCTCCGTAAGATTTTCTAGGTTCTAGCAGAGAAATTTCTAGAGGAAATAATTTTCGTTCCAATGTGCTCAATTACTAATCGCCCATTTGATGTGCGATGGCGTGGTCGCTTGACCCACATAAACGGGTGTGGCGTCGTCGACCTTCACTTAGACCCCAGCCCTCGGTGTTTGGGGTTCATTGGCTCGCTAAATTCCTTCGATTCGTCTTTAAAGTTACAAAAGCAATGGTTATTTGCCTCGCTACTTCTCATCGATCACCGTGGTAGATCATATATCGATTGTAGACCAAATGGGATTGAAAACAGTCCTAATTAGGGCGTACTGTCGTCCTCGCCTTTCAGCTGGATGATTCCTTTCTTTTCTTTTTTTTTTAATGAATTCAGGGTTCCAACTCATCTCCGATCCGTCTTGTGATCTTGCGACGTTCCTCAAATTGTCTCGAGCGATCCATCCGCGTATGAGCCACAAAACGTAATTCCTTCAGATAGCTAATATATATTGACGACTTGTAGATTCTTCTATGTGGGGGGGGGGGGGGGAGGGGAGTCTCTCAGCGCTTTTGTTCGGTGGATTTGATTCATGGTGTTGGTGAATCGAAATCTCTGCACATCATTTGTTCTAAAGCGATATTTCCGGGTCTTTGCAATGCAGCCCAAATTTGGACTGGCATCTTTGTCTTACCCGATAATGTGGAGTGTTGTGCAAAATCATTTGCATCGGCCGGGATTCGAACCCAGATCCCACTCTTTCCGGGAGCGTATGCTAACCGTTGCACCACCGACGCTCGTTTTGCACAGCACTCTTTTTAACGCTATTACGCGTTGTCTGCCAACAGCCAACCGTCGCCGGTCTGGCGGGGCAGCCGCTATCGGCATTGAACCCACTTGGGTTGACAGACATTGGGTATCGACAATCAGTCATAATTCTTTTTATTTGACCGCCTTGCGGTGGTATGATGTTATAGTATACCCAATAATGTGGAGTGTTGTACAAAAACATTTGCGTCAGCCAGGATTCGAACCCAGATCTCACTCTCTCCGGGGACGTAATGTAGCATATAAAGAGTGCTGTGCAAAGTGAGCGTCGGTGGTGCGACGGTTAGCATACGCTCCCGGAAAGAGTGAGATCCGGGTTCGAATCCTGGCTGACGCAAATGTTTTTGCACAGCACTCCACATTATTGGGTATACTGTAACATCATACCACTGCAAGTGGCGGTCAAATAAAAAGAATTCTGACCGATCATCTTTTTTAGTCGTCGAGGATCCTGCATAGTGCTCTAGTGGTAGAAGCTCGCTGTCTATCGAAGAAAACTATGTCCAAAATCAGAAAACGACACATATACATGGGTAGATGCGTATATATATATATTATATATATATTATATATATATATATATATATATATATATATATATTATATACGTGTATGTACACACGTGTGTATATGCATATACATATATGTGCACCATATAAATAGATTTTACATATATACAGGGTGCGAGAAAATGCTGATAATATTTAATTTGGCTAATTTTAGCACTAAAATAACAATTTTATATCAATACCGATAATTTATTTGAATTCTTTCCTTTAGAATTCCTTTGAACAGACTGAGTAATGACGTTTAGAATATGAATTTGCTGTACTATAATAGAGTAGAACAATGTAATATTTTAATTCTTTGTTTAATTTTGATCTAGGATCTGTTTTACTTGTCTATATCAGCTATGCTGCTCAAGTTGTGGATCGTATAAATCAGCTTATCGCAGTAGATGAGTTACACAAGATCTCGCACATTGTGGAAGCGCTTATAGCTTAAGCTGCGTGGGCCCCATCACATCTGTCGTCTATTGCTCTGTGATCGCCATTTATAAGATCGGTGTCGTGCGCGATTTTTCTATAACTTGTCGATTAGAGACGTTTTCACTGGCATTTTGAGCGCTCGTCGAGAGAAGTTCAACTTGATTCAGAAACGACAATGCTAGATTGCCCTTTGTTTCTCATCTAAAACTGTCACTTGGCTATGTGGATAAGAGGTAGGTTTGCTGCCTGAAACCTGGAGTTTTCCACGGCGGCAGAGATATCTTTCAAAGTGGACAGACCGATCTGTAACAGAGCTCCTGTCCGATTCTGCGGTTTCATTGAACAGATAAGGAATTCTATGAATCGTTGTTCAACACTGGCTTTAGAAGAAAGATGCTTTCAAAAGGTCTTCATTACACATGAAAATGGCTAGCAGTAAGTTTGAGGTAGTGTTGTCAAAGATCGCCATGCTCACTAATAATGTCATGAATATTGTGACCACTCTGTCACTCTTATTTCGGCCTACGCATTCTCATGTAGTAATCTTCCCGTCGGGCATAACTGTTTTGGTCCAATAGTTTTTAATTTGTAAAAAATATATGGGGACGCCGTGGCCGAGGGGTTGTAATGCTCGTCGCGGCACCCGTGGAGCCGAGCTCCACCTCCCACCTCTCTCTGGCAGTCAACAACAATATCCTATGGAGTGCCACAGCCAGGCTATCCTCGAGATTGTAAGGAGACTCACTCAACCAATAATCTAGTTCGCCGTTTAAGAAGAGGACGAAAAACGAATTGAATGCTAAAAGTATTGGGATCCGCACAGTGACAAAAACACTGTGGTGGCGGATCAAGCGGTGTGCTAAGTGCTAGAAGAATTTTAAGGAGCAGAGGAGGAACATGTACGAACTTGCATGATGTGCGCCAGACCTGCCAAACTCTCCATCACTCCGGGATTGGAACATTGGTTGACTGGACAGACTTGTCTGGCAGAATAGGGCACTGATTAAAACATCTGTAGGCCACCTCAAGTAGGCCAGCAATGTGCAATCACCTGGCTCTTTTTTCTGATAATTCAGTTGCATAGCGCATATCTCAGGAACTGTCCCACACGAAACACTCAATGTGAACGCTTTCATCTAAGAAATTCTTTGGATTGTTCTATTTCCGTTTTTTGTCAGTTTCTTCAATTTTTCGCTACGCAGTGAAACGAATCCTCGCGCTTCTCGATTTATAAAATTATGTAAACATAATTCTACCATGATATAAATGCCTTTGGCATATAACTTCTAATCTCATCCGAAGCAGCATCGCAAACATTGAAATTCCTTCAATCGAATCTTTTGAAGAAAACTTCTTCGTACTTGTACTTTTGTCCGTAACCATTATATCGATGAGTGCCTCTCTAGACAAAGAGCCAATCAGTGTTTGTCTGTTTAACTCTTCACTTCACGCTTCCGAAAGGCAGCGTCGACACAGTCAATCATTCGGCGATTTCCACAAAATGTACACACATTGAGCGTTTATCGTTCTGCTATAATCATCGGATAAGCAAAGATCGGTTTATGGACTGTGTTTGTCGTTTTACGAATGAGTTAATCTGACGTTGTGGAACGTTTATCTTCTTCTTCTTCTATCATCCAGTAGTCATTGGTCAGCTTGAATCCTGCGAGATCATAAACTAGTACTAACCAGTCTTCAGTCTCCCCAGTTTTTCTTCGTTTCTTGCTCGTCATCGGGCCAATTTTTTTTTTCGGGAAGAATTTTATCTTTGTCAGATGCTCGTTCCCATTCATTACCTATCTTGTCATCCAAATTTATCTTTCATAAAGACATTTTGTATTATTTATAATAAGTATCTCTAAATGCTGTCATGATATGTTAATTCTAGGAGAGGTATTCAAAACTAGTCGAATATAAGAATGTTAATTATGAAAAATACCAGCCCTGAGCAATGATTCATGATCACTGCAATGTTCAGTGACCATGTTAATGGACATACCCTAATATGTTATGCGTGGGTAAAGTGAAATTTCACTTTACACACGGTGTAACGTGTTCGTCGACGATTCCTTCATGTAAAGGGGTTGTACCCCGAAAGGAATCGCTCAGGCGAAAGGCACTGTGCATCTGACGAAGCTGTAGGCCGAAACACGTGTATTGCTGTGTATAGGTGCTCAAGAGACTTCTTGAAAAGCTTAAAATATGCTGTCAGGATGTACTACATATAGTTAAGAGTTAAGCTTTTTGCTCATTCCGGAGCCGATCTTCTCCAGCCTCGACATTTGCTCACGGACGACCATATGTTTGTTGAGACTCAGATAAGTGTGTACTGCGTATGGACGAAAATGTTCGCCAGCCCAACTTCAACAAAGTCATCTCAATTGCGAGATTTTTCATACTACATGATACACATTGTATTCGTATACTCATATCACACCGTTAATATTTGCGACCGACTAACACGCTCGTTCTAGAAAAAAGTGAAGTAGAAAACTCTAGCCTTGTTTATTAATAGACATTTCAAGCCGTTCTGTAGGCCA